AAACAGATGTTGAATTGTGGGAGGCGTATGATGCATGTATGAATGCCACAGGCCTACCCCTTTCTGAACCGTGTTCTGCCCCAACGGTCCTTGACATAATAGCTAATAAATTACAGCTGACTGAGGACAGGCTAGACCAACAGAAATCTGTGCTTGAAAACTTAAAAGAGATTGGCAGTGCTTTTGCAACAGTTAATCTACTTATAAACTAGGGAGGGGGAACGCCATCGAGCAGTTGGGTTTTTAATGGCAAACATTAATTTATGGAATGGCCACTCCCACTAAATTATTCGAGCACAGTGATGGTTTCGGTTGTCTGTTAATAACAACAATAACATTCCAGCTGAACAGCAGGTGACCAACAACAGTAGGATTTAGAGGCACCAGCCTCTGACTAACCTGCTATACAGTAACTGTTGGCCTCCTGCCAGGCCACCTCCCGGGTCACGCCTCCTCAGTCGCCTGCCTATCGCGTGGCCTCCAAATCTGTTCTGCTGCTGGGCATGCAGCTGGTCTCCAGAACTGCTTTGTCACCTCCACTAGCCCCACTGCTGAACTCCTGAACTACTCTCTGTTTGGCAATTGGACTACACCTAAAACGTCTGATGGATTCAGTGATCCAAGTAGAAAACAGGTTATCACAAAAAAAAAAAAAAAAAACTCCCAAGAAAGACTTCAGTCCAAAATGCTGCAGTGAAAGTGGTGACAGGGACTAGAAAGACCATATTTCTGCTATGCTGGCTTCTGTTTGGTCCATGTTAAAAGACTAGAAAAGACTGAATACATTACAGCTATGATGTTGACACCATTTAGTAAGCCCTTTTAAACTCAGTTGTTGCTGTACTGATTTAGAAAATGTTTGCATTGTTATATATCACATCATTTCTAGTGGTAGGAGATGGTGTAAAATTGCACTCTAAAGATATTTGAAGGCATCCTGAATAACTCTGCTCAGCCACTTTAAATACAACAGTAACATCAGTACTCCTCTCTCTCTGTTGGAAAAAAATAAAATAAAATTTACAGAATAAATTCAGAGATATAGAAAATCATTCGCACCCACAACCATCAGGCTTTAATAGATGAGCTATGTCAGACATATGAATTTCCCTATGGGATTATGTCATTTCAATTTAAGCTTATTTAAATTTTCTTATTTATTTTTTTTAATTGGTTTTAACTTTATTATATTTTTGGCATATTGTATTCTTGTTTTTAAAATTATTTTTTAGTTACATAGCATTATTTAAGCTATTCATTGTATGTTAATTGTTATGTATAGAAAAGTTCAGAAAACTTTGGGGTTGTAGTGGCTTTTGTCTCATATATTCATGGAGTGATGCAGTGTCTTCAGTAGGAAACAGAGAGAATAATCGTATTAATAATAAACAATACAAGTAAATAAATATCATATTTAAATAATATGATAGCTAATCAGTAAAACTGCAGCTAGCTCTTCTCCTTTGGAGTATTACTTTAGGTTTAAAGAGTTTTATATATATACACATCTATATATAGATATATACAGTTATTAAAATTAAATAATTTCACAATATTCTAATTGGCTGATAAAGATTTGCACATGTGTAATAATGAAGACTTCCACGGGCAGCTCAGTTTTTGAGACAGCAACTGTCTGTTCTCTGGCTCATACCATGTGCCTGTCAGCCTTTTGAAATGGGATGGACTATGGTTGCTGTGTGCCTTCACAGCAAGGCACGCCACTTAGTGTGCCTGGGTATAAATTCAGGACTGAAGCCTTAGAAGTATTTGATCAATTTAACCACGTACTAACTGAACATCTGTACTAACACAAGAGTCTCACTGGAGTAGAAACAAAGACCAGTCCAGGATTTGGATAGAGAAGAAAACAAGAACAGGTAGGATAACATTTAGACTTACGTTTGGTAAATGAGTGAAAAACGTAGATTAAGGAATAAAAATGTCAAAACACAATTAGCCATGTTTGACTTAACTGTTTCATGCAATTTTGGGTTGGTTGTCTTAAGATGTAATTTATTTGAAGCGTAGCTGAAGACAATAACATTGTTTATAACTATGGCAATGAACGTCTTTGTTTGGTAAATGCATGGTGGTACTCTACTGAAGACAAAGATCTGAATACTTTGTCATTTCACTGTTGTTCATTGTGTTTAATTGTCAACCCTCCCCCCCGAAAAAACCCCCAAAAAAACAAAAAGACAAAAAAAAACAGAACACATCCCGTCAAACATGAAGCATTAGAATAAAATAGGATTCGGATGGGGGCAAACCTGCATGCCAAATTAAAGTATGAATGCTAGATTGAAAGCACCTTTGTTGGAAAAAGTATAGAAAACAGTGCTTGTGTGAATGGTTGAATGACACATGTTGTATAAAGAGCTTTGAGTGGGGGTTATATAAGGACCGTTCCATTTATCATTAAAATGAGCATTTATAAGTCAGTGATAACAACAATATTATAATATTGTTGATAATATGCAGCTGTTGAAATGACTCACCAGAGAAAATCTTTCTTTCAGAAATTGTTTCCCAAAACATGTACATTTTGGATGATAAGAAAAACTGCCAATGTCCAGTGATTCACACATAGATTACTGAGTGATGAACAATAATGTAAAACAATCCTGTGAGGGATGAGTCCCTCACAGCCCCTCAAAAACAAGATGGGTACAAAGAAGGAAAGAAACAGGGCCATAATTAATTTCACAATCACTGAGTCATTTTCATAATTTCCAAACTCGATATATATATAAGTTGTTGCTATCTTATGGAAATACAAATAATAGCAAAATGCTTTCTCAAATGTTGCAGAGCAACTAAAGGTGTCTCAAAGATAGAAACACCTGTAACTGTAGTGTCTGATGTTGTCTGCTATTAGTGAAGATTGACAGAAAAAAATATTTTAAAAAAGCAGAAATAGCAGAAATGTTTTAAACTGTGTTTAGAGTTAACTGATTCACATTTAACTAAATAATGAAGGGCAGCCTTCTAAATCTTTAAAGAATATATAAAGTTGTGTTAGTAAAAGCAAACATATTGTTGTTTTGAGACAAAATGGACGCAGGCCTGACCTGGTTTAAGTCTGTGATCCTTGTGATCTATGATGATCCAGCCCATCATGCAAGTGGATTCCAATCTGAACCTGATTTGGTGTCATTTTGCTATTTGGATAGAATAACTGAGAATCATTTATAGCTGATTTTCAGTAAAAATTATAGAGGTTCTGAACCTGAAGAGCTGGAATGTGATTTTTAGTCTTGAGTGCCATAAATGATAAGTAAGACTAGAAAAGTGCTTAACAAATGCAAATACATTACACTAAATTTTAAGACACTGGATTTATTTCTGTTTTCACTCAGTAATAACCATATTCACAAAATATATTTATATTCACATAATCTCTAAGATGCCACTTGTAACTGAGATTTTTCTATCAGTGTGACGGATTATGACACGACAAATGGTTTTGCGCTTTTTGTAATAAGTAAGAATTAGGTTTTTATTAGCTTTTTTTAAAATTTTTTTTACTTTTTTCATCCTGTTCTGTCGGGCAGCTTTTGCAGTCAGAATTATGATCTGAACACACTGTCGTGCCAAACACATTTTGCTTTTCCAAGATCATCAGCTCTATAAATTCTCTATAGGCTCCTCTTATTCGTGTTGTTTCATTTATTACATTATACGTGGTATACAGTAAGACAGTGTCTAGGGCAGGACAGGCAGGTGAAGAAAAAAACGATAGAGCACAAATAGAAATGCACATAAACATGCATGTATCACCAACTGCTGCACCTGTAAGAAAAAACAAACATGCAACAAACATACAAAAATCACCTGGAACAGAAAAATTCAAAAATGCATGTAAATCAACTATGTTTTTGTGGATGCATGTGTGTGTGCATGTGTGTACCATGTTTACATATCTTTGTGAGGAAAGAAAATTGGCATGCCACTATACTTGTGGGGACCAACAGTTACTTATGGGGACAAAATGCTTGTCCCCACGAGTTTGAAGACATTCCTGAGGCTCTTTTAGGTTTTACTATTAGGTAATGGTTAGGTTTAGGCTAAGGGTTAAGATTAGGAATTCATTTTTAATGGTTAGGGTGAGCAGCTAGGGAATTATGTCAATGTCAATTAGATATCCTCAATAAAATGGTAAATGGACTGATTCTTATATAGCGCTTCTCTACTCTCCTGGTGTACTCAAAGTGCTCTATGCAACATGTCATATTCACACAAGCACTTTTCTTCTATGTCTTTAGTGCTTCCTAACGAACATTCATACGAGCAACTTGGGGTTAGTATGTTGCCCAACGTTACTGGGCATGCAGACTCGAGGAGCCAATGATCCACTAACCTTGAAGTCAGTAGGTGACCTGCTCTACCTCCTGAACTACAGCAACCCCCAATAAGATAGGAAAATGAGGGGGTCATTTCAGTAGACTGCTGAACTAGCACATCTGGATATAAAAAAAACCCCCAAACCCCTGCCCCATATAGACTTTGTGTGGTCTCAAACCACCTAAAGCTAAGGAAAATACCAGTAAAAACACTTTGATTATAGCATTTTACAAAAGAAGAAAGATATAACTATTTCAACTGCAGGCCCCTATTCCAAGCAGCAGGTTTAGATAAGGACTATTAGTTTTTTAACCTTGAACTGAGGAAAACTGGATTTTTCTGTCCTAGAAAGATAGTTAACTTAACTATCTTTCTAGTTAAGTTGTTTTTTGTTTCTATGGTTAAACAATCATCTGGACATTTTTCTCGAGGCAGGCGTTGCCGATTTGCAACAGTTAAAAACTAACAACCTGATTACCTTACATACATATTTTATGAGTTTTTTTCACTCAGAAGTACCACTGCAGGACTTGGTTGTGCATTAGCAACAAAAAGTTTAATTTGAGCCTGAGAGGGTTAAACAGTCACTGGGGTAACAGACTCTCTGAGCTTAACATAGTCCGCCTATTCTATTTGTGGACGTATCCCAAAAACATGCTTTTCCAAAGAAAAGCTCTCTGAACCTTACTTACACATTAAGTTTTGTTTTACATGGCTGACCAATGACAAAAAATGAGATTGAAATAAGTTTTGAGACTTTTAAAATTAAGAAACTGTATTTTAAAGTGATTTATTAAATGTAGGCTATACACAGTCAGGTTGTGACCCGAATACATTTCATGTCAAAATGTGTTCACAGATTGATATTCTGTCATTAAACCATGTCAAGCAACATTATGAAAGGTGCAGTGAAAATTACAGTGTGAATCTTTGCCCTGTCCTCAGGCAGGCACATGCTAGGCTCCATTCTGGAAACCATGGAGACCACTTGTATAGCATGTCAGGTTCCAGCTGAATAATGAGATATAAAAGAAACAAATGTAAATCAATGTATGACAGCAGACATTAAATATTACATATTTTGTATCAAACTTTTATTCTGCCTATAATGATGACAAAGTGACCCTAGCAAATTAAATAACTCCCCCTTCTTTTTTTTTTTTTTAAATTTAAATATCATGGTCAGGACTGACTCAGGTTTATATTCCGTGGTCCACTGGATAGATGCTCTTTAATTACCTGCTGCTATGGTGAATCCTGGTATTGGAGGTCCTTTGAGAGTGGCTTTGTTGATCTTCAACCAGGCACACGCAATCCTGAATCTCTATATAAAAGCACTAATCTCTGATCCTATGAGTATTACCCAGTAAGCAAACAGATGGAGCAGGGGGGGAGACTCACCCAGCTCTGACTGCTACTCAGTTCCTCTGGATGTCGATCCTCCTCCCTCTGAAAGCGTGCTTGCCAGGGTGGCCCTCTGGTCAAGGTTTCACCTCAGTCAGATCCATTATCAGCAGCAATCTATTAAATATGTGAACTCGGTGACTAAATCTAATTAACCTAAACTGATTTAATTCTGATCCTCGAGGACAAAGAGATTGGAGCGAATGAGCAAGCCTTGGCAACAACGCACCTATCTCTGTTGGAATATACAGGAAAGGAGCCCAGTTCTTGTAGTTGTAATCCATTAGGAAACGATGGAAATCTAAATCCTCCTGAACTTATAATCCACAGAAAAAATGCGAAGAGAATAAGTCTAAATTACAATTAGACCCAATTAGTGGGTCCACGGTGTTTGGGCAGTGGTTGCTCATCTGGCATATCTATGGACTCTCAGAGCCAAATCTTCAGATGATGCCTTCTGGCCATCACAAGAACTAGTGTTAGTTTTTATATGTGTTCTCCCCTTCGCTCTCCTCCCTCTTTTTCTCTCTGGACATCTAATCATCGGTGTTAAAATCTAGTCACCAGATGTCCAGCCAGACCCTATTTATAGAACCTATTAGTGTGACCTTAATTTAACATGATTTAAAATGTAGTTTAAAGATTCTTTTCCATGTTTTACTTTAATATGATTTATTATTAAATCCATCACTCAGTTTTTCAATTACAATATACTAAATGTAATTTCTCTTATTCAGCTAAACATGTTAAAGTCAGACATTCAGTGAATATTTGCTTAGACATCCAGACCAAGCACTAAAGGCCTGAGGCAAAATCTAGGCTGTGTGGTAAGTTTGCATTTCCTGTTGGTACAAACAGTCCCAGCACAGAAGCACACACACATCAAATCACAGTTAAAGGCCAGGAAGTCAGAACTCAAGTATTAGAAAGATTTCATTATTCAAATTGCATTTCTCATTAATCATATTAATCAGACTTATACTTTAATTATATTTTATTAAGAATTAAAGATGATTTATTATTAGCAAAAACACATATACATAAACTCCGCTCTGTATGACTTCAAACATAAAAGGCTGGATGTTAAGTCCGTTTGCCCTCTCTCAGATGTAATAATAGGATGGTAATTATTCCTAACCAGGGATAACAAGAACAGTCATGTATATCATTTATTTGTGTAGGTTTCTGGACAACAATGAACATTCAGTCTGCCATTAACAAAGAGATCTTCATCCCTCGTGATGAGCGGATGCTGGTGGCGGTGGAGGTGAGGAGGAGGAAAAAAAAGAGGATGGCTTTCCTGCCTACTGGACCTAAAGGGGATTATGCCACATTCATCTGTATATCAGGTAAAAGTCTATATTAGGCACTCTATGTTTCTGATTAAAAAAATAAAACTGTAGGTTGAAGTTCTAGTGAGGCCAGAGTCATAAAAAATCAGACAGGGCACATTCATATTTTTGTGACTCAAATCTAAGAAATTATCATCTCAAAATATTGTTTTTGTTGTTGTTGTTGTTTTTGTTTAAAACCCCATTAATATCAGAGAATATGTCATACAACTTTAATACTGTGAGATCTCAATCATGATCCTATTCCATAGTTTTTGGAGACAAGGAAAAATAAAATTTCTTTTTAGGAAAAAAATGAAACATAAATAATTTGTGATATATGTGAATTAAAACAGGTATTAATGTATATTAAGAAAAGTCCAACACTGCTCATCACTTTTGCAAGCTTGTTTTTTTAATATATGTTAATGGAAATAGCAAGCATAGTCAATTGACATAGTCTCTGCATGCGTTAGGAACTTAATATAACAAAGTCATGTGTGTGACATGTACCTGCACGCAGTATTTGTCAACGCTGGCTGTGTGGCAGGTAAAGGCTGGACCCAAATGCAGGACTTAAACATAAGGGATAAACTAAGGAAGGCAGCTTTTATTGCTGTAGGAAACTCAAACACTACAAACAAGAAAACAGAACCTGAACTAGGAGTAGCGCGAAAACCACAGTGACACAAACAGCAACGAGGGATGACTTGACAACAGGCAGGGGAATACCGAGTACTAAATACAAGGAGGATAATGAGAGAAGGGGAAACACAGCTGGAACTAATCAGACTAACAGGACAGGGAAATAAAGCTGAACATAATGCACTATCAAAATAAAATAGCACACTATCAAAATAAAACAGGAAGCATGAGACACACTATCATGGTACTGGGTCTGTGACAATTAACCTCTGTGTATTTAGTCCTCAGTCTTCCTCTGCCTGTTGAGAGTGAGCGAGTGAGAGAGTGCATGTGTGAGTGAGTGTGTGAGTGAGTGAGTGTGTCTGTTTCACAAAATATCTTTGAAAATGAGGGTGGTAAGCCACGATAACATCCCCCAGGAGCCAAAGACAGAACGAGATGGATCCGGGAGAACCACAGCCCCAAAGAGTACTGAAGACCTGAGGCCACACATTTCGCCGATATCTGCGCACCCATCCAGCAGGAGATAGAGGGAGGCCCTAGATGGGGCACAAACGACCAGGGGGTGAGAATCCCATGGGCATTGGACAGCCAACCCCATAGAGACCAACCACCCTGGTGTGAACCAAGATCAGGGTCACTGGGCTGACCCAAGAAACACCTGCTACTCGGAAGATCTTCTTCCTATGGCCTCTGAGAGTGGACTCATCTTTGTGCTTGTCCTGCTAGACCTCAGTGCAGTGTTCAATACTGTCGACCATTATATTCTATTAGAACAATTAGAGCATGCTGCAGGTATTACAGGTACTGCACTACAGTAGTTTGTATCATATCTAGCTAATAGACTCCAATTTGTTCATGTAAATGGACTCTTCACACACTAAGGTCAATTATGGTGTTCCACAGGGTTCAGTGCTAGGACCAATTCTGTTTACATTATACATGCTTCCCTTAGGCAGTGTCATCAGACGGCATAGCATATATTTTCACTGCTATGCAGATGACACCCAACTTTATCTATCCATGAAACCAGATAACACACACACACCAATTAGTTAAACTGCACTAATGTCTTAAAGACATAAAGACCTGGATGGCC